AGTTTCGTTTCTGCATATGGTTATCGTTGTAGTGAATGGTAAGACATTAGCCGTGATACCCAACCATTGGTGCTTTACTGCGTCTACAGTCGTCTCACGCAAACCCACCTTTATTTCCGAGAGGGGATATGACAGGCGGCTAAATGAAGTTTACCGCAACAGTCACGGGAATTCAGTTTCATGCTGACACGGCCACAATGCTCGGTTTTCCTTCTGTTTTCTGTTGTGCACCGAGGATGTACTACGAAATTGCGACACCGCTTGTACTTGTCGAAGATGACACATACCCCGTTTAAGGGCTTGTCACTTTGTATTCGCACTTTCATGAGGTGGTTTGTTCCCAGTACATACGCGTATTTGTAAAACTTACACTGTTCAGTGTGGTCAGGGTGGGTGTGTCGGGTTTCGATCTGCCAACCTTCCCTTTCACTTCGCGAAATGCTGCTACTTGACCAAGCGTCTTGAATAGCCTCTGCTGAGAAAGCCCTTCTGACTGACTTCCAGTGGCAGTGGGCGGACGAAAAATTAACATTCGGCGCCCTAACCTTGTCGGTTAACCACTGGAAGTTCACCTAGTAGATTTGGCTGAAAACCCTGATTTTAAACCAACCAAGAAGAGACATGCGGACCATAAACATCCACATCTTTCTGTCTGTGGTTGTGGTCACCGGCTCGACTGGGCATTGAGGTGTATTGGGCACATTGGACTTCTTACCGCGTACGATACAATGAACTAGCCACTGTACCCCAATTTACTGTGGGCTCTGAGGTCCGTTCTGCTGTGTTGCTGGTCTGGTTTTTTGGCAAAAGGCTTCCGGTGAGAACCCCGAGGCTAAACCCCTTCCTCGATCACGCCAACCGCGAAGTAACACACCCACAACCTACGTATTTTTTCTTCATGTTTTGTAGCACATTTGCCAATTGTGTGTAATTAGCTACTAGTTGAATAAATTAATCAGATGGTGTCATGAACAGTTGCATAATCTATCCGCATACTTCATCGATCGGTTATGGTAACTTCAGTCCGCGAGAACGATTTCAGTCCTGTCGGGCAAAAGGATAATGTTGGAATGGGAGCGATGACAGCTACAGGTATTCACCAAACTGGTGCAACATCCTGATTTTTATTACATTTGTTCCTCTCAATGCTTTATTCTTCCAGTCTCATTCACGGGATTGAATATGATATTGCCCCACATCAGATGCAACATATCTGATATAATATCCACCTGCGTCTCTGCTTCTATTAGCCACATGTCATTAAATTGTACAATTTCGCGATTTCAACGATTTTTGCAAATGCATCAGTTGTAAGATAACAAGGTCA